CTGGAATGACGAGACACACTACTGGGTCTATACGGACGGCTCGTTGAAAAACCCCACATGCCACCTTTCGGCTGATGCGGCCTGGGCGATTGTGTTCTCCAAGGCCTTGGACGAAGGCGATCTAGGGGATGTGGTTGCGGATGCAAAACGGAGGAAGGTCCCTATTGAGACTTTCACGACGCTGAAAACGGGCAAGCTAAGGGGCAGACAAACAATCAATCGGGCTGAGCTTGAGGCGGCTATTATTGCAGTTCAGGTCATCGGCCTTGCGATTGGACCAATGCCCCAAATGGAGACCTGGTAATTCAGCTGTGGAGGGCGCGAGGTGGACCCCAAGCGGATCGCTCGGTTGTTTTCAAAAAGATCGGAAGCCATGCTGAACGTACAGAGGATATCTGGTTGCGGGAGGATGCTGCTTTCTACCATTATTGGGGGAACAGAAGAGCCGATCATGCTGCAAATGCAGCTGTCCAATGTGACCACCCTGAGGTCTTGAGATGGAGGGACAACGCCTGCCGACTGGTTAAGGTCAAGAAGCCCTACTACAAGGCGGTCTACGAGGCATATGCCAAACTCCAATCTCGTTATGAAGCAAGCCGTGCAGCCCATGCACCTCAGCGGGTGGTGGCCAATGATGGCGTTCCGGAGATGAGTGAGGTGCCGCCGCCACACTTTAGAGTTGTCCCGTTGAATAATGTGGAACTCTTACGGAACTGCAGTCATTGGACGCACACCTTCATGCTGGAACTTTATAGATGGATTGGATGTTGGGCCTGGCCTTCTAGCTCAGAGAACACCGGAAGGGTAGCTTGGGTGGAACTTTTGGCTTCGTTCAAGTGCTTTAGTGGGATGAATGTCCCAGTCAAGCACCCCAGCGTTGACAAGTGCTTCACCATGACTCGGATACACCCGCTGGTGCAGGACTTGACACCGCTGAATGAAGAACTGGTCAGGTTTCAGGCAGCTATCAAGGCGTTGCAGCAGATCTTGAAACAAACTTTGATTCCAAAGGTGACATCCCATCAGCTGGCCACAAGACTTGGATACTATTTCCAAGGAGAGTTTGGAACAGTGCATGGGAGACCTTGGATACCTTGTTTTGAAAAGGCTCAGAAGTGCCTCACTCAATATCTTGGGAAGCTGGATGGCACCAGATTACACCAGCCGCTGCAAATTGATTCCGACATTGAGGTGAAGATTTCGCCTTACGATGCAATTCTCAAAGCTAGAACGCACCTGCTTGGCTTCAATGTTCTTGTGAAGAAGGGCAAGCCGCCCGAGCAGTTTGCCCCCTTTGAGGAGGCTTGAAGTGGAGGAATGACACCTTGGGTTTTCAGCTACCATGTAGTTTGGGTTTGCAGGGATCCTGGTGATCCCGGGTTGTAGGCGCTCTGCCTCCCCCTTTTGTGGCGGCCTTGAATAGCTTGGCCGACCATTTTGCTGTGGAGTGGAAATGGGGAGCTCGCCTCGGGGGGTTGAGTTGCCCCATTTTTCTGTTTGGCTGCCCTTGCTGGGGTCTGGCCTTTTTGGGGGTGTTTCTCTTTGGTTGCTGGTGTTTGTCCCCCCTTTTTCTTGTTTGGTTGGGCCCTGGGGGCTTCTCATCCCTTCGGTGGTGGGTTGCCCGGTAACGTGCGAGAGCCAACAAGATTGCTGATCACCTTGCCGGTATTGCGCGGGCTGCAGCCCAGCGCGGGTGTTCTGCCACTGAACGCCCTGTGCTCCCTATTTCACTCTTGAACTCGGTTGAAGCCGCTGTTGATGCCAAGTGTGACTTTTCCACATGGACAGTGTGGTCTGGCTACGCGACTGCCTTTGGGTGCATCCGTGTCCGTCTGAGAACCTCTTGCGACATTAGCGCCCATCTGCCCTCTGATGTCGACCTCGGCCATGTCCTACTATGGCACGAAGGGGCGGGGGCGCGACCTGGCCTTTCACTCGGAGCTCCGAGACGCGCTCGTCGCAAGCGGCCTGCCCTTCGTCAACAACATGCCAGAGGCCTGGGAGCTCTACAGCAGGGCCGACTCCATCACGAGCCTGAGCTCGGGCAAGAGCAGCTCCAAGCCCGAGCTGGATTGGGCCGTCTACAAGATCAGAATCGCGGATAGCTTCCTCTCCACTGACCGAGCTAGCGTGTCCGGAAGCAGTAACGCATCGGTCCGGGAGTTTCCGGAAGACGTGTTTGCCTGAAGCTAAAGCGGCATGCAGCTGAAGCATATGGGCAGCAAGTCGTGGCTGGCTCCACACCTGGACCGGCTGCTGGGCGACGTCACGACGCGCCTCGCCGGAAAGCTGGAGTGCTACCTTGCCCGGCGGCGCCAAGCAAGGTCTCGATTTGCTCGTTTTCGGTTGAAAACAGGCTCCAGACGCGTCACTCCTCTCGATTTCCGTTTCGGCCCAAAAAAGCTGCAAGATCCATCCCACTTGTCACCGTTTGCCGCTGCGTCGCTGCTCTCTTTTGGGCCGAAAAAGCGCACAAAAACGGCTAATTTCCCGACTTTCCAAAGACTTCGTTCTTCACACATTTTCTGTTTTTTGCCCAAGCGCGGCACTGTCACCGGGTCTAACACGCCAACCTGCCGAACGTTCGAGAAGGGTTCAGAATCAAATTGGCGACTTAAAACAATATTGGTTCATGAATGGGCAGCCCGGTCGTCGGGTTTCGAGCCGGAAGCGAGCTCCAGGCCAGGGTGGTGCAGCCCGCGGCGTTTGGGTGGAAAAAGCAGCCCGCCGAACCGCCGGGGTTCGAGGCTAGGCGCTATTCCTTGCAATGAGGATAGGTGAATATCGACCATATGAGAGTGTATTTCCGCCGGATCGGTGCAAGAAGAGTGATAAATTTCAAATGATCACCAAGTGCATCAGATCGAAGAATCGAAAACACGAAAGCGAGACTGCAGATCCTTGCGCGAAGTGAGATCAGGAGATCGACACGGAGACGATGGCAGGTCTCTAGCGGCTGGATGGACAAAGAAGACTCGACTGGATTCGTCGCGAGCGTGGCGGATGGTGGCAACCATGGTGCGTTCGAGCGTCATCAGGGCATTCGGATTTTGGATTTGCTCGTCCTGCTGAACTTTGCAACATCTTGTTCCTGGGCGGATCGTTCCTGGCGGCAATGACAGTGCGCGAAGTCTGGCAGTACACTTCGGAGTATTTGCACCTTGGGACAGCGAGAACATTCGACCAAGACCGCCAGGGAGACGACCTCATCGCCATCTATGTGCCGACAAGGAAGTTGTCCGTGTACTGCGTCGGGAGGAACGATCGTTGCCTTCGAGACCATTCCCTTCGATGGTCGGTGGTCTTTCACAACGGGGGCGGTTGAGGACGATGCCTCACGGCAAGGGCGATGCCTCTATCCACAACGACGCCTCAGTGCCTTGGCGATGACTTTTTTTTCGGTGACAGGCCATGCCCAGGCCCATGAAGGCCAGCTCAAATCAGGGCTGCCTCCTGCGCAGATCTCCTATGGACTTCACATAAATGATGTGCCCAGCCGCCATGACGCTGCCCATGCCCAACGGCCCCTGCGAGACAGTTCCTGCCTGGGCTGGCCTGGAGTGTGCTGAACGGCGCCAGGGTTTGGAGGCTCTTGTTTTGTCTGTCCCGGTTTGGCTTGAAGCAGTGAACAGGATTCTAACGTCCATGTCTTGCGGATTGCTTTCTTGGTTGACAAGCGTGGGTTGTATCTCTCCACTACGCGAAAGACATCAACCTTCTAGCGACTCAAAGTCGCTTTCCGTCATCATGTAGTGTTTCCCCGTAGCAACGCACGCAAATTGCCAAGCTTGTTGCCAGGGCATGATTGCGGTGCGGCCCGGCGCGGGCTTTTTTTTAAAGGAAGTCCCACTGTCTCAAAAGCAGAACACTTATTGCGCGCGTAGCAGTTGCGGTCCAAATCTTGTGCGTGTACGGCCTGAAAGGGACAATTGTTTGCTACATGCAACGATACTTTTGTGACGAATGTGAAGCAGCTTTGACTATTATTGGGGTTGTGTGAATACCCCGCGCCTTTACATTATGTCAGGCTTCGTAAAACGATAAGAAAGAGAAACGATAACGATTGTGTTTACTACTACTACTCCTACTACTACTACTACTACTACTACTACTCCTACTAGTACTCCTCCTACTACTACTACGACTACTACTACTACGACTGCTACTACGACTACTACTACTGCCACTACTCCTACTTCTACTGCTACTACTACTACCACTACTACTACTACTACTACTACGACTACTACTACTACTACTACTACTACTACTACTACTACTACTACTACACACTACTACTACTACTACAACAACTATCACCACTACTACTACGAATACTACTACTACTACTACTACTGCTATTACTCACAACTACTACTACTACTATTAATACTACTACTACTACTATTACTTCTGCTACTATTACTACTAATACTTCTACTACTACTACTACTACTACTACCATACTACTAATACGAGTTCTCCTACTACTACTACCACCACTACTACTACTACTAAAATTAAAGGACCGGATAACCCCACATGCTATGTTTTTGCCAAGGATGTGAGTTCAAATGTCCACACACATGTACCGTGCGCCCCTTGTATGGATGCGATTACAGAGCAGGTCTAGCGCGCTCTTTTCATCGCAGGCGTTGCTAACCTACTGCAGCCCGAGCCGCTAATCAACAAAACAAAGCAAGTTCGAGACATTCTCGAACTTAGTCCATCTTGTTAGATTATTGGCTGCGCCGCACGTGCATCTCAGGAGGTCATCTTGCAGCTCAGCATCGGAGAAGATCTGGACACTTTCCCAAAGAGAAATAGCACTGTGGTATCCGTTGGACGATGAAGTCAAGCTTTTTCAGTCAGATGTCCATCTCAAGGCTTCTCCGCGGGGAACCTGCAGGGCCTGCCTTCCTGAAAGGTTCCAATGAAGGTGCGCGCTGCGGCTGGAATGTCGACAGAACGCGGACCGCTCCGCCTACATTGTGAATCCATCAGCAGCGCCGAGGGCTTGGCAGGGCAGCCGTGTAGCCATTCAGCAGCCATTCAGCATCTGACTGCAGGGCCAAAGCTTCCGTGGCAAAGTGCTCCCGCAGCAATGCTTTCGCAGCGCCCAAGAACCCAGCGCAGCCAGGACTGCTCTCCAGCCTGCGTGCTCGAGTTGCCAGAGCGTTGGCGGCAGGCGTGCCCCGAGCAAAGCCGTCGCAGTGCCCTTGCCGCAACCACTGACTAAAGCAGTCCAGCACGGTCTGCAACATGGAGTCGACCATCTTGCTGTCGTGCCCAGCAGACGAAGCGGTGGGATCCACTCCCACAACGTCCTTCTCCGAGTTGGCCGCATCTCTCAATGCTTGCCCCGCCGCCGCAAGGGCAGACAAACCTTCTTGGGCAACGTCCTGCAAGTGCGCCAAGTCGAGCTCAGCCTCCTCTCACCAATGCTCGACATGGCCCTCGCACTCGTGAGCTAGCTTTGCACACGCACGCTCGCCATGCGCCTTTGTGGCGTTCGATCGGCATCTTTAGCCAAGCGAACACATCTCACACAACAATTCTGCCATGCGATCGAACTGCTCAACATTCTTCTGCAAATTCTGCAACACTTCTGCAATCTGGCAACTTCTGACAAAACTTCTGCAAAATATAAGTTCGTGACCCTGGACACAAAGCTTCTGCGAGCCCAATCTCAACATCCAACAGCTTGCCTCACAATGCACCCTGCCTCATGTACTCACAGCTCTGCACTTACACAAGCCTTGTAGACGACCCTTTAGACATCCGAGAAGTGTGAGTGAGTGTGAGTATGAATGCGAGCGAATGAGTGACAAAATGCTGCCCCTGCCACACAAACACACACCCAGATGCACAGAATGCTGCGCCTGCCACGACTTCGGCAATGGCATCTCCACACCCAGATGCACAGAATGCAGCGCCTGCCACGACTTCGGCACGGCAACGGCATCGCCAAAGTGCTGCGCCTGCCACGATTTCGCACGCCCCCCGCCGCGCGCGCGACAACATCCTGTCCCTCTAGACAGCTGCCGAATGCGACCCCTGCCACACAAACACACACCCAGATGCACAGAATGCTGCGCCTGCCACGACTTCGGCAACGGCATCGCCAAAGTGCTGCGCCTGCCACGATTTCGCACGCCCCCCCCGCCGCGCTCGCGCCAACATCCTGTCCCCTGGCACACAAACACACACCCAGATGCACAGAATGCTGCGCCTGCCACGACTTCGGCAACGGCATCGCCAAAGTGCTGCGCCTGCCACGATTTCGCAACGGCATCGCCAAAGTGCTGCGACAACATCCTGTCCCTCTAGACAGCTGCCGAATGCGACCCCTGCCACACAAACACACACCCAGATGCACAGAATGCTGCGCCTGCCACGACTTCGGCAACGGCGTCGCCAAAGTGCTGCGCCTGCCACGATTTCGCAACGGCATCGCCAAAGTGCTGCGCCTGCCACGATTTCGCACGCCCCCCGCCGCGCGCGCGACAACATCCTGTCCCTCTAGACAGCTGCCGAATGCGACCCCTGCCACACAAACACACACCCAGATGCACAGAATGCTGCGCCTGCCACGACTTCGGCAACGGCATCGCCAAAGTGCTGCGCCTGCCACGATTTCGCAACGGCATCGCCAAAGTGCTGCGCCTGCCACGATTTCGCACGCCCCCCGCCGCGCGCGCGACAACATCCTGTCCCTCTAGACAGCTGCCGAATGCGACCCCTGCCACACAAACACACACCCAGATGCACAGAATGCTGCGCCTGCCACGACTTCGGCAACGGCATCGCCAAAGTGCTGCGCCTGCCACGATTTCGCAACGGCATCGCCAAAGTGCTGCGCCTGCCACGATTTCGCACGCCCCCCGCCGCGCGCGCGACAACATCCTGTCCCTCTAGACAGCTGCCGAATGCGACCCCTGCCACACAAACACACACCCAGATGCACAGAATGCTGCGCCTGCCACGACTTCGGCAACGGCATCGCCAAAGTGCTGCGCCTGCCACGATTTCGCAACGGCATCGCCAAAGTGCTGCGCCTGCCACGATTTCGCACGCCCCCCGCCGCGCGCGCGACAACATCCTGTCCCTCTAGACAGCTGCCGAATGCGACCCCTGCCACACAAACACACACCCAGATGCACAGAATGCTGCGCCTGCCACGACTTCGGCAACGGCATCGCCAAAGTGCTGCGCCTGCCACGATTTCGCAACGGCATCGCCAAAGTGCTGCGCCTGCCACGATTTCGCACGCCCCCCGCCGCGCGCGCGACAACATCCTGTCCCTCTAGTGAGTGTGAGTGAGTGAGTGTGAGTGAGTGAGTGAGTGAGCGAGTGAGTGAGTGAGTGAGTGAATGAGAGTGAGTGAATGAGAGTGAGTGTGAGTGAGTGAGTGTGAGTGAGCGTGAGTGAGTGAGTGTGAGTGAGCGTGAGTGAGTGAGTGTGAGTGAGTGTGAGTGAGTGAGTGTGAGTGAGTGTGAGTGAGTGAGTGTGAGTGAGTGTGAGTGACTGAGTGAGTGAGTGAGTGAGCGAGTGTGAGTGAGTGAGTGTGAGTTGAGTGAGTGTGAGTTGAGTGAGTGAGAGTGAGTGAGTGAGTGAGACGGAGACGAGCGGGAGGAGGAGGAGGAGGAGACGCGGCGCGCGGACGACGAGCGGAAAAAGTAAGAACCCCACACAAAGATGTGGGGAACTACTACTACTTCTCCTACTACTACTACTACTCTACTACTTCTACTTCTACCACTACGAGTATTACTACTATTACTTCTCTACTACTACTACTACGACTACTACTACTACGACTACTACTACTACTACTACTACTACTTCTATTAAGTACTACTATCACTACTACGACTACTACTACTACTATTACTACCATTACTACTATTAATGGAACTAGTTCTTGTTCTTACACTACTATTACTTCTGTTACGACAAAAGACGGGCACCGCGTCGTTTTTTCTTTTTCAAGGGAAAACCGGAACAGGTCAGGGTTCAAAGAGCAGTCCGAAACAGTTCGGAAACATGTCTGAAGCAGCCCCGATGTGCCTCAAGCCACCGCAGGAGCATTTGGGCAAGTTATCCAACTACGATGTCTATTTCGATTGCTACTATTAAAATTTTTGCCACTACTATTGCTACTACTACTACTACTACTACATTACTACTAGCCCGTCAGACGGACGCCCGTCCGTCCGTGCAACAGTACCGTTGTTATTATATTGCTTTTGCTATAATTAATATTATTCACAAACTACTACTACTACTACAGGAAGAACAAAAACGATAACGGTGTCGAGGGTCAATTAAACGGTCACGGGGTGAATTAAAAGGTCACGTGTATGGCCTGAAAGGGACAATTGTTTGCTACGTGTGCGAAGAATGCGTTGTCGCAACTGACATTTTAGGATTCTTCCGCATGCAGTTTGCTAGGTGTCGGCGTGAGGGTTCAACCCATACTCATAACTAATAGGTAATAACAAACATATGATTTTCCGGAAACACAGGCAACTTGCAGAATCTCAAAAGGCACTCGCTGGTGAGATCAAGAAGATTTCACACCAATGGTCAGATGTTCTCGGTTTGCAAGCCTTTTCACTAATTACATATTGTTCAGCTTTTCAATTTTGGATTGCATTTTTTGTACATGTGGGTTCGACAATAAGTACGAACACTAGCAGGGAAACTCTCTAGGAGATTTCAGGCTTAGGTTCAGGTTGACACAACCTGGAGTGGGTCATAGGTTTAGCAAAGGTCTGCCCTGGGAACTGGGCACCATGCAAACTCGAATGCTACCATCGTGTCAGACGATGCGCACGAGAGCGCTTTTTGCACTAGCTTTTCATTGAGGCAACCGTTTTTTTCAGTGTTGGCTTGGTTGTTTTCAGGCTGTTTGTGGCGTTGTGAGCGTGCGAATCTGAATCTCCGTGTTTGCTGAGGCTCGTTTTGCCGCATGTTGTGCTTTTGCTCACATTGTAGGGTGGGAAGCACCAGTGGATGTGTCAAAAGCGGCCCTCAAGGCCGGTGATGCAATACGCAGTCTTGAGTCTTGTGGTTTCCCCATTTGATTGGAGGTGCGACGCATGGCAAGATTATATGGCAACAACTCAGGCTGCTGATTTGCAGACACTTGACATTGACACCATTTGTCATTGCAAGAGCAAATGTATGAAAAGGATTGGCCCAAGAGCCAGTGAAATGGAGCCATGTTTTTGTTTCGTACAACTTTTGGCATCACTACATGAATTGCGGCTGCGCTGTGCAGGCTTCACCATCGGGTGTCTCCAGCAGTATTTTGCGATCGCTTCGATGGATGCGAGTGTGTCGGCTTTCGATTCAGGCAGTCTGGGGTTGACACTTTGGCGTGTCTCCTAAACAATAGACTTCCCGATTGAAGGCCCTTCGGGCAGATTTTCGGGACGGACAGTCTTTTCAGAATTCCCAGAGGGTTTTCGAGGGAGCTGCCAGGCAGACCAATTCAGCCTCGGGCGGCCTAGCAGCGTCAGGGCCCCAATCCACCTTCCGGGCCAAGGGACACAGCATGCGGCCAGCGTCGAGTCAAGGCCATCCTACAGTGGGACGTTTGGCGCGAGATTTAGCTCAAAACTCACTCCGCAAGAGAAGGAGCCTGGGGCCATTGGGCGTATGTGAAGAGGGGAAGATCATTTGCAGGCACCTGACATGCGGAGGTTTTTACAGGTTGTACATATTGCGTGGCTGATTCGAGCAAGCGACGCATGCAGGAGATCATTGATGTCGCTTTTGAGTCCTTCAAAGATGAGCTGCTGGGCTTAGGGCAAGGGTGTCACAGTGACAGAGGCACAAACCTGACATGGCTGTGTGCAAGATGGTTCTGCCCACAATCCAAGAAGGCAGCGTGCTTGCCGTTGTTTGGCTCACTGAGGGGCAGACTGAATTTGTGTATTTTTTCTCAGCATTTGTTCAGGTCTGGCTACATCACAACAGAAAGGCCCAGACCGGAGTTTTCCGGCGCTGCAAGCGGAGCTTTTGGGGGGTTCTCGTCAAGGCTTCCTTGATTTGGATAGTACAGCAATGATTTCACGCACCGATGCTGTAGCGGCACCAAGAAGTGGCTAGCAACTAGCCGCCACATTTGCGTCAGAAGTAGACTAAGTGGAGACTCCTCCAGATGATGAGTTCAACTTTGTTGCTTTCGGAAGCGATCGGCAGCAATGTGAGACGCCAGGCTCAAAGAAGCTTTCGAAGCCATTGATCAGCTGGGTGACATCAGCTTGGACCTTACGCTCGCTGGGCGGCCGATGCGTTTAGTTTGGGAAGGCCCCTGCTACAAGAAGAACATGTTTTGTTCTGCTTGCGATGAACTGTAAGCAACTATCAGATTGGGATGGGTGTTTCTCTGTTTCAACATGGAAGACGGTAGATGGGGTGCACGAGCTTCTGTGGGTCCTGCAACATTGTGTGTTTAAGGTGACATTCAGATGTTGCTGGAGTTGGCCTTAGCTTTTGCTCAGCTTTTGATAGTCCACATGGACAGCTTGGCTGGCTTGTTTAGAGTACTTCACTTTCCTTGCCGTTCCTCAGGATAGCATCGATCAAGATGGAGATGGCAAAATAGATGAAGACGAGCCGCTGGCACAGCGAGCGGACTCTAACAGCATCGCGCGAATGATAGGACACTGAATTCTTTAATTGGTTGCATGGTGGCTTCACCGCTTACTCATTCGCACAGAAACATTGCTTAGTCACCGGCAGTCCAATTCATTGTGCCCAGTTTGGAGGCAGCTCAGTGGCTGGTCATCTCAGCTTTTTCAGCCACTTCCAGATGTTTTCCCCGAGGTTTCGCCACATCATGACTCGCAAGTTCCTGGGCGAAGATGACGACTCTTCTTTCGCTGGAGCCTTGGATTCGCAATCATCTTATGTAGCCAGAGAATGAGCTATGTGGCACTCTGTGTCGCAGCCTGTTCACAGGTCCAGGCGTTCGAGATGCTTGATGCCAACAAGGACGAAGCGCAGATTTTGATGCAAAAGGCAAGCAGCTCTAAGCAGGATGGATACATCCCCATGGCCGAGCTTCGGACTGTCCTGATGAAAGAGGGCCGCACGCCAAGTGCGACGAAGTGCATTCGCTTAGCTTTGACTGGAGATGTTTCCATTCGCAATTGAGTTTGCTGGACATGTGTGCTAAGGTAGTCAGCCACTGAGTGAACAGGAAGTGGACGAGTTGATGATGTTTGCGGACATTGCCTGCCCGGCCTTTTCATTGTTGTATATGGCTATCATCATGCCTTGCAATTTGCCAGGAGGGCGACGGGCTCATTGAGTACAAGGGCTTTTTGCGCTGGCTGAGTAATCCGGATGCTGTTCGATAGGCAGGTTCGCAGCGTCCAGATGCGTCCAGATTTGGTTTGCATTGGCAAAGTTGTGAGCCGCCTTGGGGACTTGAAGTTGGCCTCTCTCTGTGAGGCGCAAGTGTCACCAGTGATTCCTCTGATCGGGTTCTTTGTGCTCGTCAAAGTGCTGAGCCACAGGCTCCGATCTTCTGGGGCTGGAAGCTTGCGAACTGAGGAGTGTGGGTTTATTGCCTGAAACGTCTCGGAGCAGGCGAGAAGCGCTTGGAATGTTGGCATACGAAACTTTCGATAAGCCAAGCAAGACTAGAAACAGGCCTGACATGTGCATCTGGAATTCAGCAACACATATAAGATAATCAAGCTAATCTGGACACATGCAGATATGTACTTCAATCATGCTAGACGTTTGCAATGTTTTTCACACGCTAGACGCCAGATATGAATGACATGCAATTACTTGTGCTGCACACATGCTAGAGAATTGTAGGAATGCACTCGACACATGCTGACGGCAAACATATACTCTAAATTCATGCTAGAAATTTGCCGCACAGCTACTCAACGTGTGCTCGACATATATATATATATATATATATATACATAGGCACTTGGTTTGCAGAACAAAACATGAGAAACGCGGCCAACCAAAAGCAAAAAACACGAAGCAACACTTTTGGGCTAATTTCCGAGTTTCAAGCAGACACCCTTTTGAAACACGCGCTTTGTGTTTCCCCCTCGAGTTGGTTGTTGAAGGCTAAGCAATCAGGTTCTGTGTGCATGTGAGAGAAGTCAGACAATGGGAATGGTTGCTTGCTTCAACCCTGAGAAGAACAGGATGAAACAGAAATATCAAGCGTCTATAGGTCGGACCCGTGAGGGTACCACTATTTCGGAAATCCAACTTACCCCATAATTATGGTATCATTATGGATGGTTATCTTATAATCCCAACAGTGGGTTTTGCATGTTTCTCTGCCTGGTTCGCTTGCAACATTTTATTGGGTTGTGCCTTTGGGCATTTGGACGAAGATGCGGTCAAACGAAAAGATAGCTGGTTCGAGTATACTTGCGCCACTTTCAATTCTGCAGCTGCTTGCTTGCATCACAGATTTCCAAACGTTCTATGCGAAGCTGAGGCACCCCTTTCGCGACCTTGTGTTCATTATGAACCGCAAAAGCGCCACACAATTCACACGCCAATAGAGAAATATCACAGCAAAACTCAGAAACAGAAGGAATGTCTCTTAACTCCTTTGGACAGCTATCCGACGTGGATAGCTCACGGATTGCTCCAACTATTTACCGGACTAACGAGTTCATTGATTCTTCATGAAGGGCTGGGTGAATCGCCAAAACATTGGTTGTCAACCCCCCTACACACTTGAACATGTGGCTGGCCTGTGCCAACTGCAAGGCCATCCAAAAAAAGTGGCTGGGCAAACCCTTGCCTGAACTGGTTATGCGCCAGATCCCGGGCCCCTTCCCCTTCTCACCCCAAAGCAGCCCTCAGGAACGTACTTTTGTTTGCTCAGGGTTCAAAATTAGGTGTACGACCCTGAGACTCCCTAAAACACGTGTTCTTACGCATTCTCATCACGAAGGGTAATTGTGGTTGAGTCGGGCTCCTTTGACGGTACCGCAAAAAGGGCGGAGGGCTGCGTGCGTGAAGCTACTACACCCCTTCCCTCCCACAACAAAGTGGTTGCAGGGGTAACTACTACACTCCTTCTCTCCAAAAGCAAAGTTGCTGCAGAGGCAACTCAACGACCCTTAAAACTTGACGGCGTTCGACACATGTACGGGGCAGATACTTGATTGGGGGTGTGGCAAATACAGCAAACATGACCCCCTGGAAAGGGCAAACGTAGTTGAGAACTGTGTGTCTCACAAATAAGCAGGTGCAAATGTTACTAGCTACTTGTGACAGAAAGAAACAACTCAAGGGTTCGTCGGGCGACGAACAAAACCGGCTTGAATGCTTGACATGTGAAAACCGACAACTGTTGACTGTTAAATATTTCTGATTCCAGACATCTTGGAACGCCAACAGCTGCAAACGCGGGACATCGCGTCCTTCCAAAGGTTCCGAAGCTCAACCGCACCAGAAAGTAATTGCAACATAATTATGAACTGCTATTTAGGGGAATCGGTAGGGGTGCAAGAAAAAGCCTTGAGTGAAACAACACATTGGCATCATGTATACTTAGATGTTTTGTTCTGCAGACATCTATGCCAACGATGCTTCCAGCCCCAGTGTTGAGCGCATGTCTCTTCTATGGCTGTTTTTTTGTTGCATGATGCGTGAGGTTCTGCAAGAGGCAGAGCACGGTGCTGCAGCGATAGCAAAGAGAGTGGACCGCGCATGGCCGAGTGGAAGAGGGTCTATGTGTAGATTTGATGGGGCATGGTGCTTTGGTAGAAGGGGAAACAGATCATTTGTGGATGGTCTTCTGCTAGCTTGACCATTTGAGGACTGCAGACGTTGATGTTTTGGGTTCCTCAAGCATCACAAAATGATGAACAAACTATATCCAGTGCTGTGAGCAGTGCAATCACACTTGCAGACCTGTCTGAGCATCAAAAGCGGGGGTTGCCAGGTGGACCCACCCCATACTTGGATCGGGAAAAAGCGAAGCGTCAGAATCAGAGGAAGTTCTATTCTACTTCCAGTGCAAAGACATTGTTGCAATTTCGCCATGCGGATTTGCGGGCCTTCGCGCCTTTTCGCTCCTCTCGTGCTGGGACTCCGGCTGCCCATGTCGATTCTTCCAGGGCCGTGCAGGTATGGCATCCACTGCGTCCGGCACGACTGTTGCTTTGTGCATCCGCAGGCTGGTGGTAGTTGTGCGGGTTTGGTCCTTTTGGAGATGGTGGTGTGTGTAAAATCAAGTCATTGCGGGGAGAATCTAGACCATTTTCGCACGCTTGGAATGCACCCTGCTTTGGCTTGGGGGGGATATAATGGCACGCGGTTGGCTGCTGGCTGGCGCTCGCAGGGAAGGCTCATAGACAGCGACATCAGCCGACCAAGGCAGAAGAATGCCCAGGCCGGATCGGCCGCCATGAACCCATGGCACTTAGGTGGACTGCATTTGTAACCATAAGGATACACCATCCAAGGTGTAGTCCTCAAGGGCTTCATTCGCATGTCTTTCACAGGTGGTGATCATGCGCAACGACGGTACCCTCCGCGTTTTGCTGCAACTGCGGAGCTTGTCAATGCCGGCGCGGTGCCTGGTTGCGAGCTCCCTTCTCTCATCAATGTCCTTGCAAGAGCTTTGTCAATGCACACTTTCGCCATTGCAGGAATGTCTCCAATTCATACAGGGGGGTCCATGTAGCGTGCGATAGGTTTGATTCGCTCATTCGCCGTGGGCGGTGGGCACGCTGAAAGGGCTTGCGTGTCCAAGAAAAGCTTCTCTAGTTTTGTCCCTTTTGGGCTGTGCGGTGCCTCAGCCCACCCCAAGCCCACCACGACATCCTACACCAAGCATGCAAAACCCCGTGAGACTTACAGCCATTCAATCGTCACATGTGGGCACAGGGTACGGAGCTCGTCGCACCTGAATAGCGAACCCACCGTCGAGATCTGGCCCCAACCACCCAACCACCCCCCCGAAAACTGCTTTTTGTTCGAGGTAAGGCTTGCTCAGACAAGTGATCTAAGCTGTTTGACTGCGTAGATGCTGATGGTGTCAGATCGTCAGTTGGGAGCACCCACTGACATACACTGATGAAGTTGCTGACTCTGGGATCTTTTTTGTTGCGTATTTTCTTTGATCGGTTTTTTTGATGTGTTGATTTGCCGGCATAGCGTCAACCCTTCCCCCGCATTATTTCGGCTGTACCATGATGTTCCATACTGCCTTCCCCGTCAAGCGCAGGTGATGCCTGGGCATTTGGCCACTGTAGGGGGCATGCGGGACCGCACGGACCCCGACAGCTCCGTGACGGCCATTCGCGAGGCCCCAAACCGCGGAGAGAGCAGGACTTGCGAACTGCCGATCTCAGATCGATTCACATGGGTGTGGGTCAAAATTAACCCACCAGAAAACCGCAGGTTTCAGTCTTTGTTTCCATTTACCAGGGTTCCATTTCGGGTACTTGTTTTTGACCCACACCCACATTATCGTCACAATGCATGAAGGTTTCTTGTGCCCGTGCTGCCAATTGCATGTCGACCCTTGCAAAGGCCAGTGCAAGCCACAGAGGCCCAGATAAGAAGGCATGCTGCCCTGAGAAACAAGAGCCCATGTATTCCAGGCTGTTTGCATGTCTCTGGTAAGATCTGCTCGCTGAAGTCCAGGTCTTCGAAGAAACTGGACTTCTGGACGTGGGACACTTGCAGGGAGCAGAGTCAGCTCTTCAGAAGCGAGCCGAGGAGTCAGGACTGGCCCATCTCAAGCTGCCAATTCTTCGCTCCAGAAGTTTGCTATGGTTGAGAGTTGGGTCTTTCGCTCGCATTGCAGGCTTTGTGTTTGCCGGCACAGGTGGTTTGGGCTTTGCAAGAGTGCAGAACAGTTGGCTTGCCTGGTTTGATGGGCCTAAAGAACCTGTTTGGCCTCGCAGCAAAAGGTTGCCCGCTGTTATTTGTGAACATTCCATTTAGGACCTGCACCGAGCTCATTCCATCCAGCAACCATTGTATACACATGCTTTGCATACATCTCATGAGTTGAGACGTTCAAGGAGAGCCGGGATTTTGAAGGCGGACTGGCGAATGCAAACCAGTATGGGTCCATTTGCAAAATAGAGCCCCTGAAGACGCCACGGACCCGACACGACACACTCTCTCTCTCTCTCTCACACGCCTCGCCCGTCCGGACGCTTCGCGAATCATGGAGGCAGACCGCACCGGTCCGGCAGCTTTAAGCTGCAGTGCTCAGTTGGCACCCCGCTCTCCCACATGAGCATGTCTGCTCCGGTACGTGTACCCTAGCAAGCAGCTCAAATACAAAAAGGCCCCTGTGTGAAACAATCATGAACAATATAAGTCGGCACTTGTTGCACACTTGCTGTGACCGCTGCGCAGGGCCGCCCCGTAGAGCCCAGCACCCCTTGCCGGTTACAGACACCCAATGCACGCAAGGCATCATGGGGCTATTGGAGGCAACCCACTTATGAAAGCATCAGATCTGGTGAGGCCTATCACATAGCTATTATGAGCAAGCTGTTGCAAGTCGTGTTGGTTAGCAAGTGCTGGGAAGCTCTCATCATCAGCCAAAAAGTACACCTACTGCCGCAGCGGGTGGTATCCACTCAGAAAAGTACGATAATGACCTGAAGAGAGACTGGGCCCCACATGCTCAATCACAACACTGACTTGGTATTCAGCCCACTGAGCTTGCAACTCAATACCAGCAAAGACTGGCAAGCACACAGTCATTCCGGCCTGAATGTTCAATGGCTGCGTTTGCTTGCGTGGCCCATACCTGCTACCAGCATACCTCTGAAGCACTATGGGCACATGCACACTGGCTCTTAGCACGGCGTGGAGGTAATGCTGAGCGTGCCACGCTTGGATGCACCCCTGCAGTGTCGGGGAACTCACTTCTATGGCCAAGCAACATCAATGTCCGGAGGCAATGCTTTGCCCAACAAAAATGCCAAGAGTTCGCCTGCATCCTGTTGCACATGGATGCTTTCCCAGCCCTGCAAAAGCAGCTGCCAAGGCAACAAGAGTGTGAGGCACATCTGACCACCTGTTCGGAGAAGACTGAGGCCAGCCTCCAAGCGACACCCACTGGTGACACACCACGCAATGATGCCTAAGCTCAGCCCAGTACCGCTCAACAATGCTCAACCAACCCTTTTCCCGCATCATGTCCTGCACCTCTTGCCGCTCTGAGAGCGGCTTGGTATGGGCAACCAAAGGGTCTGCAGATGGCTCAGGCCGCTTGAGTGCCTGACAAAAATTCAAGATATGCCTTTTGAAGGCTGTCCATGTGCCGACACGACACTTCACAACTCATGAAAACACAACAAAATACAACAGATGACACCACGAATTACACACACAACAGCACACACACACACAATACACACACACACACACCCTGCAGGCGCACACACACACAACACACTGAAACACCACAACACACACAACACACACACAACACACACACACCCACACACACCCACACACACCCACAAAGGCATGGGCGACTGTCTCTAGGGACAGTGGACAGCCTTCTCAGGTATCGGTCAGGGGGAGTAAAACGGGCTCCGGCAATCCCAGCTACGTGACAAACGCCCAAGGACTTGACTAGGTGGAACACTTGCTGCGAGCAAACGCCCAAGGACTTGCCGAGCTTTTTGGGGTTGGTTGGTTGTTGTTTTTGGCTGTCCTTCAATTGGCGTCAACGACTGGGTGAACCCCGTGGGGTGAATATCAAAGGTGGCTCTCTGCAGAGGCATGAACGACCTCAATTTTTGGAGACGTCAAAGGTGGCTTTGCTACATGGCTGCGCATGGATGGATCCAACGTGAAACTGGCAAATGAAGTGCTTCTCATCACCTTTCTTTGTTGTTTGTTGTTGTGAAAGCAAAGGCTTTCTTTCCACCTGTAGAGGCCTGAACGACCTCATTTTTTTTGGCTAGGGGGTAAGGTTTTCCCGAAAGCATGGCGAAGGGTTCTTCCGCTGGGTTCACTTGAGTTGTTCTCATGGGAGTCATTACAAGGTGTCATTGCAAGGAATCATCATCATGAAAGTCAATGCAATCAGTCATTGCAAGGAGTCATTGCAAGGAGTCATTGCAAGGAGTCATTGCAAGGAGTCATTGCAAGGAGTCATTGCAAGGAGTCATTGCAAGGAGTCATTGCAAGGAGTCATTGCAAGGAGTCATTGCAAGGAGTCATTGCAAGGAGTCATTGCAAGGAGTCATTGCAAGGAGTCATTGCAAGGAGTCATTGCAAGGAGTCATTGCAAGGAGTCATGAGAGTCATTGCGAGCTGCGCATGGAGTCAAGTGCAAGTTGCAAGTGCAAGGAGTCAAGTGCAAGTTGCAAGTGCAAGGAGTCAGGTGCAAGTTGCAAGTGCATGGAGTCAAGTGCAAGTTGCAAGTGCACGGAGTCAAGTGCAAGTTGCAAGTGCAAGGAGTCAAGTGCAATTGACTTGCGAGGAGTTAAAATCTCTTCTTAGGGCGGCGGGGTAGTGCCGACGACACTACACGAAAATCGACCCTCTGCGGGGATCGGCGTGGTCGAGGTGCAAAAACCCATGGTTTTTTGCGATTTCTACAGTTCCCGCGCGACCCTCTGCGGGGATCGGCGTGGTCGAGGTGCAAAAACCCATGGTTTTTTGCGATTTCTAAAGTTCCCGCGCGACCCTCTGCGGGGATCGGCGTGGTCGAGGTGCAAAAACCCATGTTTTTTTTTGCGATTTCTGCGGTGCTCGCGGGACCCTCTGCGGGGATCGGCGCGGTCGAGGTTCAAAAACCCATGTTTTTTTTTGCGATTTCTGCGGTGCTCGCGCGACCTTCTGCGGGGATCGGCGTGGTCGAGGTGAAAAAACCCATTGTTTTTTGCGATTTCTGCGGTGCCCGCGCAACCCTCTGCGGGGATCGGCGTGGTCCAGGCGCAAAAACCCATGGTTTTTTGCGACTTTTGTTGTTCGAACTGGTCCTCGGGAGTTGTCTCGTGGTTCGCGCGCCTGCTCCCGGAACCGGCGGGTCGCGGGTTCGATTCCTCCCTGGTCCGCGGGCGGGCGTCGCAAGATGCAACTTGCATGTTAAAGCAACTTGCGCAGAGCAACTTGCGCAGAGCAAGTTGCACAGAGCAACTTGCGCAGACCAACTTGCACCGACCAGTTTGCGCAGAGCGCCTTGCCTAGAGCAACTTGCGCAGAGCAACTTACGCAGAGCAACTTGCACAGAGCAACTTGCACAGAGCAGCTTGCACAGAGCAACTTGCAGGGAGCGCAATTTGCACAGAGCAACTTGCAGGGAGCCACTTGCAGGGACCAACTTGCCGGAGCAACTTGCGCGGAGCAACTTGCGCAGAGCAACTTGCACAGTGCAACTTGCGTAGAGCAACTTGCGCAGACCAACTTGCACCGACCAGTTTGCGCAGAGCACCTTGCCTGGTGCTGTCTCGCGCTTGCTTCACAAATGCTTCGTGGAGGGAAAAAGAACGCATCCTGCAGCGTTGGGCCGACCTCACTTGCGATGTTATGCTTTCGGGCCAACCGTGGTCTAGTTTGTGTGACACCGTGAAAGTGGAGGCCTAAGCGACGTTTTTCTTGGGGTAGACGTGAACGGACGCATCCGACAGTGTGTGATAAACGTCCAGGCACTGCCGAGCAGGTGCGTTTCACCGGAAAAATGCGAGGTCTTGGTTGGCCAAGGCTCGCGTGTTTCCATGCGCCCTTCCCACATCTATTCGGGCGAGAAGCTTCCCAGCCACCAATGTGTACGAGTTCCGGGCGCACGCACGCATGCACGCACGAAGGCACGCAGGCACGCGCACGCACGCACGCACGCACGCGCGGACGCGAGCGCAGATACGCGATCATGCGCGCGCGCACGCATGCGCTCGCGCGCACGCACGCACGCGCGCGCACACGCACACGCGCACGCACACACACAAACACACAAACACACAAACACACAAACACACAAACACACAAAGACACAAACACACAAACAAACAAACACACAAACACACAAACACACAAACACACAAACACACAAACACACAAACACACAAACACACAAACACACAAACACACAAACACATAAACACACAAACACACAAACACACAAACACACAAACACACAAACACACAAACACACAAACA